CATAACAACCATACAGAGCTGATTTTTACTTTCCCTCGTGTCCAAATCCAGGAAGAAAAGCCCAGTCATTCGACGCACTTTAAAGACAATCAGGACACAAGACATAGGTGCAAAAAAATCAGTCAAGATATGGTGACTCAAAATCGGATGACGTATCGGACAGCGTAATTTGCGTCTAAATTAAATCGCAGGAGTCATTGAAAGGAACCTTTAACAAAGGCGTAAAGGTTGTGTGACCCCTGAAAAGGCTGTAGCTTTTGATTTAGCCTCATATTTTGTGCATAAATAATGGATTAGTAAGGAGACCTAAGACTGTGACTAAACGGACACCCAGAATGCCTGTGCTGCTAAAATTCGACAAAAAAACACATAAATTATAATTTACTTGAAATAAGTTTTCATATGGGCATTTATGTTGATAATTGCTTTCCACACCTTCCGAGGTACACTTTCTTATTTAAAGATTCTTATCTTTCACTTCGTATGTCTATGCGTTTGCCGTGAGCAGTTTTGCAGTATAAAAATTTATCTGAGCATTTTATCGATCCTGCAACCTTGTTAGTGTTGCTTATGATGCTTAGCTAATCATTGCTGACCCCACTTTTTCTCCAAATGTTACATATGCATTATCTTTTTGATTCAAACACTATAAAAGCACGCGATACCTCGCCCACTTACAAAATCTCGTTTTTCTTTCAGAGAAACGAGGAGCCAGTGAAAACCCACATTAGGACATATTCACTATATTTTTGTCTGAGTATCGGCACTATTTGCTGTTTTCAGATCTCGCAAGTCATTTTGTCTCTCGCTTATTTGTTTAAAATGTACAAATGAAGAAGCAGTTACTCTCTTTAGTTCCTGTTAGTGATCAACCTTTTCGTAATCAGATTTGATCTAAGTTTTCTACCCACGCCAGGCCTAATTTAAGGTAATTTTGGTCTGAGATCTATCAGCTCTTTCTGTACAGCAATTTACTGTTCTTTTAACAACACAGAAGACAACCTCGGAATAACTGAAAATTACGCTAGTGACTAAACGCGAACATTTTGTTCGTTCATTTCGTTGATCAGGGCCATATTTTTAAGTTACAGAGTGTCTTTTTGAAACCCATTAGCTGCTGTGATACAATTATGGAGTTGACTAGTGATTGCGTTAGTAAATAAGCCTCGCTCTCATAGGTCTCTGTTCCTCGTGTACCTTCGTTTTGGTTCATTCCGATGGGAGATTTTGTTAATCAAAACCCAGTCTGCTTAAGCTAATGCATGATGGGAACACTTGGGTGACTTGGTTCGTACGGCAGCTTTCGCCTTAATTCTATATAGGTTTGTCGAATGATTCCTCCTGGGTGTGTAATTGATTATACCCACAATTTCTGTCTATAGAATTTAACTCATTCGGGCACCGTCTTGATTGAGTTGTCTTCGGAATTTGTTCTAAATACAGAGGCATTTTTTTCAATTTCATATAGTCTTGGGCACCCTTGCTTGTGTTAGCAATTTTAGTTCAGAGAAATGCCGAAGTCAACCGAGGATGTGTACTTATGTGGCTGACGTGGTTGCAAACGAGTGAAGGCGTTCTGGGACCTGAGGCGGAAACTAGAATGTCCTTGTCGTAAAAAAACTAAGATACTGCAATGGGGATTGAGGTGTCGCGAATACGCCTTTTCAGTAGACGCAAAAACATGAAATTATCAATGTGGGCCCCTGTATGTCAGTAATTCTCCCTACAGTACGTACGTTTCGTTAGAATTCTGTCATCTGGGACAAAAGCGATCTTCACCTTTGTTCTGCTGTTAATCCAGGCCGCTGGGCTTCGCTTTCCTACGACTGTAGTTATTCTCAACCGGAAATGACAAAAAGGAGTCTACGCTTAGGTGGTATGCAAGTGTTCTTCAAAACCTCCGTTCTTGCTTAACATGTGGGTCTTCCTGCAATAGGGGTTGGCTTAGGTGGCTGCTAATAAAAGCTGCGGTAGCACAGATCATCTAAGACCTAATGGCTGACGGCAATGTTTTCGTAAATATACATCGATTCTGTGATTTTTGGCTTCACAATCACAAACTTTCCCCACCTAGTAATCAGTCCATCAGCTTCCTAGATATAACATATTTTCTACTCTAAAAATGGTGCTTCAGCGATTTGACTGCGAAAGGGATTATGCTCCTTCGGCTGGCCCCGGAGATCTGACTTAGAGCAATGGCTGACGTTTGTGTGCTGAGTAACAGTGATATAGAACAAGTACTTGCAAACACAAAAGAGAATTTGATGATCATGTTGGCCCATTAACAGCATCCTGAAATCTGTCTAAATATGCTGGTATTCTAATCCGGACTGTTTGTCGGCAGGCATTAAGTGAAACAGTCTACAAGGGAACTAGGGAATAATTACCCTATCGAAAATTTTGAATACATTTTAAATGGTGCACTACTACTCTCGTTGCGGAAATATATATTCTTCATCCGTTTTTCCTTGAGTCGTACCTGCAGACGGAATAGGAGGCAGTATGGAGATAAGTGAAAGTTAAGATAAAATATCGAAGACACTAGTATGAATCCCGACTTGTACACTCCCGACATGTACCGTCTCATAATTATGATACGGTTAGTTAACGACGGCTGATAACTCAAATGACTATTTCCTTTTACTTTATCTCGGCCGATATTCTCTCTTCGCACATCATGCATGTAAGAAAAACCAGAGAACTTAAGTAACCAAATGCTTCTTCGTTTCTATGTCGAATGGTTAGTAGTCAGCTGTAAAAGGATGAGCTGGCGGTGGCTGAGTATCCGCGCCTGCTTCTTGTACACCGCCAGGGTCTCAGCTGAGTACAGCAGCGCCGGCAGTATGACTGCTTTGAACATCTTCAGTTTGGTGCTGAGGCGGAGACCGTGACGACTTCACACGGTGTTTATAGCAGTTAGTTGGACGCTGGAATTAACTTGGAAATCAGGCAGGCCAATTCATCGACGATTTTGGTGCTTCCAGAAAGTGTGCTACCGACATAGGTGAAGTTGTCCACGGCTTGCAGTTGGGCGCCGTTCACAATGATTTGAGAATCATTGCAGGTAGCCTTGGGTGGTGGTTGGTGCATAAACACCATTTTCTCAGTTTTGATAATCAGGTAGGAGTTAATGCGTGCCTACCTATTCGCTATGGATGCAGAGATCTAATTTGCTTCGTAGATGGCGGCGTCGGTCTTCACTCCCCTGCGCCATGCCGGTCTGTTCTGGGTACGGTCCCCCCAGGTCCCCGAATGGGTCTGTAGGCGATTCAAAGAGTCCCTGTAGCACTGTTTTTGTTCTCCTTATCAACGTGTACCCTTGGCGACATCACCAAATAAGAGTTGTTTCGGTAGACTTGTGTCTTCTATCCTCACGAGATGGCCGCTCCAACGTAGCTACAGTTGCCTCAACTTGGCGTGAACGCTGAGGATTCCAGTTCGTTTTAGGACTTCCGCGTCGAGGATCCTGTCTTGCCATCTCAACTTTAGTATTTTGCAATGACAGCTGAGATAGAAATGGTTGAGTTTCTTAGCATGGTTGGAGTAGAAGGTCTAGATTTCCACTTCGTGTAGAAGTGTCGTCAGAACGACAGCCTTGTACATCTTCAGCTTGCTATTCAGTTGTAGTCCGTGACAATTCCACACGGAGATCTGCAGCCGGCTGAAGGTTTGGTAAGCTTTGAAGATCCGGTGGGCCACCTCATCGTCATTTCTAGTGCCGTTGGAAAGTGCGTTTCCGAGATGAACAAAATTGCTCACGGTTTTAAGGTGGCTGCCGCCGACAAAGATTCGAGAAGCAGTGGTGTGTTGCGTGTTGGGTGACGGTTGGTGCATGATCACCATTTTGTCCGTGTTGATAGTCTGGCAGAGGTTGTCACAGCCGGCACCTGCTATTGAGATGTCCGTCAGCTCTGTAAGCGATGCGTATTCCACGATTATCATCACGGTGGGCGTCCGTCAACATGGCATAGAACAAGGGAATTAAGAGGGTGGGCGTAAGGACGCAGCCCTGCCTCACTCCATTGGTCACTGTGAATGCCTCGAAGATCGCACCGTTGTCCATGACGCGCTCCATCAATCTGTTGTGGAGCTGACGTACCATATGCGTGAATCGTTCAGGGTAGCCACATTTCTGCATAATTTTCCCAGTCCCTCGTGATTCACAGTGTCGAAGCATTTTGTCAGGTCCACAAAGGCAGTTTAGAGATGGGTTCGCATCTCGTAACACCTCTCCCGTAGCTGACGAGTGGCAAACGTCATGTTGGTGGTGCTTCGGTGTCGCCGGAAGCAACATTGGATTTCAACGAGAATCCTTGTTCAAGGCGTTCGTTGGGGCGATTGAGAAGGGTACAGTCGGAGACTTTCCCGGCGATGTTCAGTAGTGAGATGCATCTGTGATTGTCACAGAGTTGCCGCTTCCTTTGCGATTGTAGAGGTAAACAATGGTTGCGTCGCTGGGATCCTGAGGAACTTGTCCACAGCACCACGTCATTTTAAATAGCGTGGAGAGTTGGTTCATCAGGCGGAGGCCGCCGTGCTTGTAGATTTTGGTTGGAGTCGTATCGGAGGCTGGTGCTTTCCTGCTGATGAGTTGCTGCACAGCACATATGGTTTCTGGGATGAAGGGCAGGAGATCCAAGTCGACGTCGATTTCGATTTAGGGGAGCCAGTCGATGGTGGCGTCGGAGATTACGAAGAAATGGTTGAGGACATTTCTGAGGTGCCTGAATCAGCGCTTCAGAATCTCCGGCTTCTTCGTCAAAAGCGTCGATCCGTCGGAGCTGAGAAGCGGTGCATTCCTTTTGGTTAGGGGGCCAAAGAGCGCCTTGATCGAGGCAAAGAAGTTTTTTTGATTCGTTACAGTCGGTATATTCATAGATCTCATCGACCACGCCAGCTATACAGCCGTCCTTTATTTCTCGCAACCGTTGTTGCGCAACGTGGTGACATTAGTAGAAGGCTGATTTGTTCGCATCGGTTGGACGGTCAAGGTAGGCTCTATGCAGCCTAGTCTTCTCGACAAGCAGGTTAGTGATGACTGCGTCATTGTCATCGAACCAGTCCCGATGTTGGCAGCATGCGTGGCCGAGGAGAGTCAGGGCGGTCGACTGGACTATGTCCCTCAGTTGACACCATTGGTTCTCCGCGGAGGCGTTCTCGTCGGCGGCGGCGGCGGCGGCGTCGACAGCGACATCGACTGGAAGGTTGGTTAGTCGTGATCTAGCTCATCGCTAAAATGGGGATGGTGAGCAGGCAAAGACAATGAAGCAGTATTCAGCTTACCTGGGGTCGCTTACCTTGAGGTCTCCTGCGTGGCTCTAGACGGATCCTCATCTTGAAGAACACAATGCGATGGTCGGTCCACACGTCAGCATCCGCGATCGCCTTTGTCATCAACATGTCCTGCTAGTCTCGCCGCCGGACGAGAACATAGTTTGGCAGCTGCCAGCGCCGCGATCAGGCGGTGAATCCAGTTAGTTTTCTTTAGCATCGGCACGCGGAAGGTGTTGGTCAGGATGAGGCGGTGCTCTACGCAGGTATGCAGGAGAAGGAGATCATTGTCCTTACAGCCGGCCCTTCCATGAGGACCCAGGACTCCCCTTTAGACAACGCAGTGTGTCCTGACGCGGTCACTGAAATCACAGAGGAGGACTAGCTTATCCGCCTTAGGCCCAGTAGCTAGAAGGGCGTGCAGGTTCTCGTAGAACTTTGTCTTCGCCTCGTCTGAGCTGGTCATTGTTGGAGCGTAGGCGCTGATGACGCTGGGGAATTTGCCTCCCCGAAGAGACAGACGTAGGCTCATCAGAAGATCGTTCGTGTCCTGTGACAGATGGGACAGTCGTCCCACGATGCCGTTTCGAATGGCAAAGGCGACGCCGGCGTCTCACCGTTCTGCCCTGGGGCGGCCGCTCCAGCAGAAGGTTTAGCCGGCACTTACCTCCTCCAATTAGCCTTGTTAGGAGAAACGGGTTTTGCTGAGTGCAGCGATGCCCACCTTGTACCGCGCCAGTTCCCGAGCGACCAGCGTCGACCTCCGTTCCAGCCGGTTGCTCTTGGGATTGTCCAAAAGGGAACGAACACCCCAGACGGCCAGAGCGGGTGGACCCACCCTAACTGCCTGTGGGGTTTGGCATAGGGGATAGAGAGGGGAAAGGGAGAGAGTACTGGTTCTTGTTAGTTAGTTTCGACCGAAGGTATTGCAGTCTGTGATCCACGGTCTGCATGCAGATGTCGTGAGCTCAGCACTGTTTAAAACACATTTCATAGCCCCCTCCTTCTCGCTAGTGTACGGTGTGCTTTCCCTAAATGAAACTTATTAGTCGCAAGAGACGGCTGCAGCTCTAACTATGGGTCACGAGGTTCAGTGAGAGAACGGCCCTCTGCCCTGGGCCCCATTCGTGATTTCTTGTCGCGCTCGCCTTAGGACATACGACAGGGTGGTAAGATAGTTGTGTGGAGTGGAGTGTAAAGAGATCGAAGTGTGGGGGAGAATGTGGAGAATCATGCGAAGGAGTAGAGCGGGCAGGTCTACCAGCTACAGGGTCGGTAACTTGCCTTATGCTGAAATGCAAGCGTGGGAAGGCAGAGACAACCAATTGATATTCAGCTTGTAGCGTCATTAACCTTGTGGCCTCCTGCGGAATTACCGACGATGACTCCACCTGGAGATAATGGATGGGGTGATCCGTGGGGCTTTCGGCCGTGGGAATACGGAAGAGCAGAGTGTGGAGATATTGAGGGCGGAGAATAGGTGCGAGGGAGTAGAGGGGGCAGGTCTGCCAGCCACTGAGTCAGTAACTTTCTAGGTGCTGATATGCCAGGATGAATAGGCAAAAACAGCCAAACGGTATTCAGGTTACCCGTGGGGTAACTAACCTTCTGGTCTTTTGCGGGACCGGTAGATGCAGACTAATATGGGTAATGGGGATGCGGTGATCTTTGTTGCGAACGGTGGTAGATGGGGGACAGAATTACCGTGCGTGGAGATGTACACAAAAATATCCTCACCTCCTTTAGCCTACCGGTCGAGGCGGTTGCCGGGCTGTGCCATTAGGCAGAGCCTAGCTTAGGGGGGCCAGAGGTAAGAGTTGGGTGCAATTTAATAGACGTTTGGCTTAGTCAACACCTGTAAGCAAGCGACCTACTACGACCGTCACGTGGTTTCACAACTGGACGTCCCTGCACCTGAAGGAGGTCATGTGCTTAAAGGGTAAAACTGTTAGTTTACCAGCCCAATGAGGAAAATAAGATTCTGATGTAGAAAAACGAACGCCGTTCCAGTCATCCAAGCAAAATATGGTTCCTTTGGCAGTATTCAATCGTTAAAACTAGTATAATTTTTGGACAAGTAATACGACGCACGTAGCAGATAAATGCAAATTGGGCTGGTTCATTTTGGGAGAACGAGGAGAGATTTGAGTAGTACCTGTGGTACTAAAAGAGCGCTGACAACGTGCGCCGAGTATATTTAAGAAGGATAGGCAGGAATCATGCCATATAAGGATGACCGGATGACATGGCATACGATTTGTTCCGGGTCCCCTATTCCTGATTACGCTGACGCATTCGTGATGCAAAAAGCTATGTGAAGGTTTTATCCGTCGAGGCTTTTCTGCGTGGTTCAACTTGCAAACTCGGAGAAGTGGAAGCAGGAAGGGATGTTGCTATGGAATACACGATTATCTTTTTTGACTGGAAGGGAATATTAATGTCCTTTGATTATTCCTTACGCAGGAAATAATGTGAGAAACCGGCTTGTCAAACCCGGTTTTCAGCAAGTGCTGCAACACCTAAGTTCTACCGAAAATCGCACTACATAGCCTTGTATACCCAAGACCTGGCAGCAATGAGAATATCAACTAATTGCAAAATTGGAATTACGGAAGGTTTGCAGACTGCTAAACCAAACGAATGCAGATAATGACTCACCCCTCCACTTGGTCAAGAAAATCGCTAACTACCGAGAGTTTCTTATTGCTGGAAATTTCAAAGCATCTGCAATAGATTGTGCTAGTCTAACAGTTTGCAGTACGCCTTCCTCCTTTACTTACAGGCTAATGGACCTCAAATGTAACCTTCCTCAGGCATAGTGCGTAAAGACACCAACGAGATTTAGAAAGAAGCAGAAAGTAAATTGCTTGGATCTAATTTTTACAAAAGACTTCCCTGACACTGACGAAGTGCATTCCAGTTCACCTTTCAGTAATAGTGACCATTCTATGCTCCTGTGGGATTACTTGCTGTATTCTCAACGCCAGCACAGAATGGAAGCCAACAAAGTGTATGCTAGGCAGATTTCAACATGACGAGCGATAAATTGATATCTGTGAACTGGGGGTGGTTGCCCACAGCGGATCCAGATGGAGACAATAGATAATTTGAAATGATTTGTGAATCTGATTTTGTGCTGGTATTCAGCAAAGGTCTAATAAACAACAAATCGACCTACCTGGTTAACAAGAGCTCTTATCTAACAGTGAGGGAAGAAGAATATGAAGTAGAGGAATTTCAGGGAAATCGGCTCACAGCAACAACTTGAGGAATTTAGTCGTCCAAAAGATTCTTTCACAACACAGATCCGTCAGAAAAGTAACGACGATGGATTCTGAATTATTCCACTATACATCAACAGTCGACTTTAAAAATACCCCGTCGCAGTTTTTAAAGGCGACAAATGCACGGAATTCATTCAAAACAGTAAGAATTTCAGGCGATTCGGACAATTCTGGCTTTTGTATTCACTGGGGAAAAGCAATTTCACATTCTCAATGTCAACAGTCCTGATGCAGATGGCGGCTCGGTCCTTGAATCCACACACTTCTCAGTGGCGCTTTTGAATGTGCGCTACATAATCTTAAAGATTCTAGGTCATCCGGTCCGGAAAATATACGAGCGATGCTCTTGAAAGAATTGACAGACGAACTCTTCAACCTACTAGTGTAAATCTTCCTTTCATTTGAATTGGGAGACTTTCGTCGAAGCGACAGACAATAAATATCTACCCGATATATAAGGATGGGGCTGGAAGCAATATGAATATTTATCGTCTTGTTAGTCCACTTTGCATATGTTGTAAAGTGATGGAAAACTTGCTTAAGAAGGCGATAACGAAGTCTTTAGAGTAGAGCCACTTACTCTCAGGGCTCTAGCGTGGATTCAGACAAAACCGCTTTTGCCTTTTCAGATTATTGCCTTTAACTAGTCAGTGGACTCGTGCATCGAACGAGGATGGCAGCCTTGAGGTCATCTACAATGATTGCAGGAAGGCGTTAGACTGCGACCTACACAAGCATTTAGTCAACAACTTATCTGCAATTAAAATAAGAAGCAAGCTACTCGCATAAATAGTGGAGTTTTTACGGAGAAATCGCAAACCAAGTGCGTTGCTGCTTTGAAGTCATCCCTTACTCCCGTTTTATGTGATGTCATCCAGGGCCAGTCCTGGAACCGTTACTCTTCGACGACTGTGTCGACAACGTGGGATGCAGAGCCGTCATGAGTGTCGACGATGTCAAACTTTGGAGAACAATAAATCTCATGAAGGTAAGCCCACAAATCAAGAGAGTCTAAAGGGACTTAACAGATGCTTTGCTGTTGGCTCATAAATTTTAACCTTGGTAAGTGTATGGCCATAAGACTCTGTACCAAAAGAACCAACGTGGACTATGACTCTACCTGAAACCTCTTCGATTTGCAGCACTTTTCAAATTTTCGGAGCAGACGAACCTCGGTGTTCTACTGATATCCTCGTTTAAACCATTGGCACGTTGTCAAAAGGTGGCCAAGCTTGTAACGCAGATGCTATTCTTGCTGAGACAAGCATTTGAACGGATCAATAAAAAATTATCCGGCAAAACCTATGGGACATTTATTCAGTCTCACTTCGAGTATGCAGTAGAGGCCTGACGTCTCTGACGCAAGAAAAATTATCAACTTACGGAACGAGTGCAGGATGGTCGGCCCAAACGGACATCCGACGGAACCCTCTCTCGCATTGGGTCCGTGGATGCTGGAATTGACTTCCTGATGCAGTGCTGTTTTCAGACACTATTAGAATATTAAACTGCAGTCTAAATACTCCTTTGCTGAGAAACTACTGGAACTGTAATCAAGTTTGCATCAGTGGCCGCAGTTTAGGCCTGGGTCGCGCATACTGATGACCTGACACTTCATAGAATTGGTGCCGTAAAAATTCATGTCACTGCTTATTCGGATATAAATATGGGGACTCAAGAGCGAAAAACTTATGCTCTAAATAAAGTTATTTGAATATACTTAATCGCTTTATGCTGTCCGCAGAGGGTTTTAACTACCTGGTCTCCAGTTCTTACGCATAATGTTTGTGATTATTCAATCCGCCTTTCTATTGGCTTATTTGGCGTTTTTATTGCGGCGGCTTAAGCCATGGGGAAACCCTAGCTAATAAGACCACCGGGTCCAGTTACAAGCGGGAAGATAAGTGGAAGACCGGTTGAAAGTATGTTGTATTCTGTACAGAATTGTTAGAAAAGAGGTTAGAAGCCAGAGGAAATGGCCTCTGGCGTCGGGATAGCAAGGTACCAAGCGTGTGCTAGTGGATGCGTCAAAGTGAAGTAGTCAAAGGCGTGAAGGACAGCATACACATAGGCAGCAAGACACTGGGAATAAATCCTAAAT